GTGCTATAACACAGGGGAGGCATCGGTCCCGTAACTTTGTTCCCAGAACCGTTTCGCAGATTTGGAACACAGATTTGAAATCAGCGTTCGAAACTACCTACGGGGGATATACATCTCATCTTGAATGGCCACTGCGACTAAGTATCCTTCCCTTGTAAGCAGGGTTCCGAAGAGCGTTCAGCACAATCGATCACATCCACAGTGTTACAAGTCTCATTGATGTATCGCGGGAATACAGGATGGCGTTGTGTCTGGCGTTCATCGATTTGGGAAGGCCTTTTGTACTGTCGAAGCAGCAGCGGTAATTGACGCCCTCGACAGAAGTCAATACATTAGGATGCTTTATGGGCTTTACGGCAACTGCACGACCGGGATCTCGTAATTTTATAAGGAAGGCATTATCAACCTGGAAGGAGTGTTTGACAAGGCGACCTCATTTTACCCAAACTTCTTAGTGCAGCTCTCGAGAATATCATGTGTCTGTGGAATGGGATGATTTGGAAGGGATTATCGACGGCGGCTATTACATCACCTCCATTGCAGACGACAGCGTGCTTATAACACCGACCATCGTGCAGGCGGAACGAGTGTTGGCCGAATTCGTCAGCGCTTGTGGAAAGATCGGCTCAAGACTGAACTCAAAGAAGGCGATGTTCACGGGGAATGGTACCTGATGCTAAACGGAACGAATATCTCCCAATGCTCTAGCTATGTTTATCAAGGTCGAGAAGTTAACGTGGTGAACCTAGCTGCGAGCTGAGCTGAAGGAAACGTGTCGCATGGGGAGCACTCATGTATATCGAGAGAATAGCGAAAAAGACAAGGAACATCAGGCTCCGCGCCCACTTTTTCGACGCTGCTGTTTTTCGTGCTTTGACCTGCACCTCGGAGACTTGGACTCTACGAAAGCAGGATGAACATGCTGTCAGCGTCATTCAACACGCTTTGCAATGGGCGATGCTTGGATCATTCCTACACAATCAAGTGGGAATTCGGAGTTACGAGCTCCCCCATCGAATGATGATCAGGCATGCCATTGATTACGCCGCAAAGTCGAAGATCAGGTAGGCCGGACACATTATGCGTTATCGTTATGACCGTTGGACTGCGGCGGTTACTGAGTGTATCCCTCGGGAAGTCAAACGAATACCAGGTTGGACGCCACCGCGATCGTTGCACTTCTTCATTGAAGATCTGAACGAAATGAATGCTGCGCCTCGTAACGCCTTCAAGCGAGGACAATCCACTAAACCACTGTGTCTTGCGACAAGGACGAATGGGACATTACTGGCACCCACTCGGGGAAATAAATGATCAACGGGACGACAGGTGATACAGGCTGCAGGTGGAGTTTAGTAGGTTCTTGAGAAAAGCTTATTTTCATGTCATGGTCCTGAGAAGGAAAATTCTACTTAACTCTTTTCCAACCTTCCAAGTCTGATTCTATAGTGCTATTTCTCTTACCATGTGACATCTTCAGTTTGAACTTCGCGAGAATAGTAGAAATTGGCAGTACAAAACCCTGACATGGAACAAGTCAGATACCGTTTCTTAATGCATCATAAAAAAGCGGAGCTGAAAGCGTACACTGTTTGTGCTGTGAACCTGTATATTTGACCCACAGCTCACATACAATAACGGTGAACCCTTGAGTCTTAACGAAACTTCTTGACATTACTACGCAGGAGAGAGGCCATAATGTATTTCTCAGAACTTTTTTTGTAGAGTATTCCATTTTGTTTCAGGAACCGTTGCGCGGGTGTTTACTTCTATGCAAGATACCGGCGATACATTATTGATCGTCACGTTTGCAATTGCGGCGGTTCTCAATGCTGTACTCTTTGTTCAATTCGTCCTTTACTGGAATGAAGACAAGCGCAAGAAGGTGCACTAAGTTCAGTAAGATGAATTCATTCGTCTTTGTGGACCTACATAAGTCTGCTAGTATTTCCTGGTCATGAAAGGTGGTTTACCGATTCTCGGCTGTGAGGAAGTCTATGAAACGAGTTCATCAATAAAGCATTTTATACATGTGTTATAAATTACAAGTTTGGTTCCTATACCTCTCATTTGATCAGTTTTTCAATCGTCGTTCCCTCAGCGAACATTTCTTTTCGATTCCTCAGCACAGGATGGATGCTGCCAGTCCTATTCCTAGTCTTTTTCGAAGGCTCAGCCGGAGTTTCGTGGAGCATTGGTGCAGAATAGCGGATGACTATCGAACAGTCGCTAAAGAGACTGCAGCCGCCTGTCTAAAGAAGCCGTCAAAGGCGGGTTAGTTGTTGCTTGCTCTTCTAGGTGTCGAGATTTTGTCTGTTTATATTTGATGTGAGGTTTGGTGGTTAATGCAGGTGTATACTGGCTTGGGTGCTCTTGTGTATGCTAACAGCGCGAGTAATAGTGAGCTGGCTACAATGAATGAATTACGAGAATTACGTCAGAGGATGACTTTGTTGCCAGCTTCGATCCATAATAAAGAATCAGGCAAGTGGTCTCTTCGAAGATTAGTTGGCGTTTACGTCTATATACTAAATACTGCTACAGACACCGAGTTAGCTGAGCGATCGTTACTTTTGAGTCAACATCGCCTACATCTCTACAATTTTTGGTTTTTCTCGTTACTTGTGCGGTCTCCCAATGCCAGTTCTGTGGCTAGAGAGGTCGCGGGAGTTATAGCTTCTGTTCCCCTGAACCTAGAGCATTTAAATTTGGTAGGAGTACAGGCGGCAGGATGGGAACACCAATAGGGGTGTGCGAATAAGTTTACCGATCGCACCTAATCAAGCTCGCCTCGCACCTGGGCCCGAAGTGACTTTAGGTGCGAAGACCACGCTATAATTATGCTGTCCGCACTTCGCTACTAATCGAGTTAAAACTTGTCAAGTAAAGGAATAATGACAGTTAAAAAAGTGGAGTTTCTCTTTAAAAAAATGAGTCTCATGAAAAAATTTCCAATATCGTCTATATACTATATATCAATTCCAACGGTTTTGAGAGTATATACACGCATAATAAATAAGTTCAATAGGTTTCATTTCAAGCTCCTAGAAATGGGTAAAACAGTTTAGTTCACTTCTTTTTCGGTATTTTCGCTTGTTTGCGATATCAAACAACATTTACAGAGACGATGTAGTTTTCCAGAGTTGTTTAATATTGGGACTACTCTTCATTGATAGGTCATTGAACGCCATACGGCTCACCATGCTGGAATCCAGAAGGATCTTTGCAAAGGAATTACCAGCAGAAGAGAGAGAAAAGGTCTACGAAGAAATGGAAAGGTGTGATGTTTCGAGAAATTTCCTCCTATTTCGATCGTATGTAATATTTTATGTTTTCCTAAGTTTGATGAACTTCAACAGCAAGGAGCAAGTATCCAAGAAATAGAACAAATTTGTATAAAGATGTCTAGATTCGTAACAAACAAAACTATCTGATTTTTTTCTTATAAATTCATATTACTGTTGAATTGAACCGTTTTCCCCCATATCACACAAACTTTATCCACAAAATATATTGGATTCATTTATTATGCGTGTAAATAAAACTCCCAAAATCGTTGAAATTGATATTGGAACTTTTTCTTTGAAAAAGAATATTTTTTAACAGAATCTCCATTTTTTTAAACTGTCATTATCATCCTTGAATGACAAGTTTTAACTCGATTAGTAGCGAGTGCGGGCAGCGTAATTACCGCGGTGTCTTCGCACCCACTTAAGGTCACTTCGCGCCTAGGTGCGAGGAGAGCTTAATTAGGTACGATCGAAAGTTTATTCCCGTACTCCGCCAAGGGTATAAAACAGAATGCGACTGCGCCCACGGGGCGGGATCTGTGCGAAAATTGGCAGTTTGGACATTCAAATTTGCTAGGAATAGAGGAGGCAGTGTGTGAATGAGAGGTGGTTTGACCTACTCAGCCCACTTGAGCGGAGTTTGTACGAAAATCTGAGTTTTAGGGAGAATTCGTAACTCCTGTTTGCTAAGAAGCTGGCAGTTTGAAGTGGCATGACCGGACTCCACCCACAGAAGAGCGGTAGATTTATCACACCGATGGCAGGTAGTAGAGAATAACTGAACTGGATGCAGCCCGCGGAGGTGTAGGGTGATTTAAGGGGCGGACCATGCCTTAAACAAGCTCAGTTTGGGTGAACACGCAGTCATGTTGGAATAAAAGGAGCGCACTTAGTGTGATGGTGTATGTGTGTTCCGCTGGGAACCAATAACTCCTGTATTATTGGACCAGGGCTTCCAAACTTAGGGGAGTGCAGGCGGCGGGTCAACCCTAACACTATAAGGAACAGAGCCCGGCGCCAGCCAGGCGATCCTACTTTTAATGCAACAACGCTTGTTTCTTACACGGTACTGATTTCCATTTTGGGTGAAAAAGCGTTCAAATATTAGGTTGGCAAATAAGTCCTGCGACAAAATGGAGACCTTTTTTCAATCATTTCTGAATTTTTTCATATCAATCAATTTTCGGAAAAATATTTACTGAAGAAGTCAACAACCTTCTTTTATTCTTTGAGCCATTCACTGATGCCATCTCTTTAGGAAAGAGGGAGTTGTGAATCAAAGAAGTCATTGACTGCCGTTTTTGGATCACATTAAGTTACGAATTTCTTTCCCACAACGGAATGTTCAAAAAGGCGGAGCACCTGGTAGTTAAAAGGGTGAACACTCCGGAGTACGACTGATGAGTAACCTACAACCAATCGGGATCGGTGAACTTTTGACATGGGTCTAAAGCGAATTTTCGACGTGCGTTGTCCCTCTGTAAGGACCAGATTTACGGTTTGATCGTCCTTCTCTAACCAGGTTGGCCAAATAAAGGGGATCATAGGGGCAAGCGATAGCTGTGTCCATCTAGTCTGCGTTTAGCAACTCTTAGTGGATGAATTCCTTCAACCTCCATCAAATTAAAGGACGACGCTTGCTTTACTCCGAAGGCTAGTATCTCTTGCAGTGAAGCGATCCAACCGATTGTTGCCCGTCGATCGGTGAGCAGCGCTAGCATCGAATAGATTGCTGATATTTCGAGCCACTAAACTCGCGTTTTTTCCTTGGCGTGCTTGGTAGAAGGTGATGGCACGATTCGGGTGTTGTCCATTCATTGACCGTAATGCTGCGAAAGCCCACAAGCGTGCCCTTATTTACTCATATGTTGATCCCCCGGGGAACGTCCTACAAGTTCATCACCCTTGCTACCGTGTTCACACTGTTGATACAAATTTTCAACGCTTCGAATTTTTTGTCGCAGGACTTATTTGCCAACCTAATAAAAGGATGCATCCACGATCATGCACTGAAACTAGCACCATGAGAAATCGTATCAATCTCAGAGTGTCACCGCTATTTAAACAGTGGTGTTCTTTCATTGGGATAATATGGACATGTTGAGCAACTAAAGAGCACCGGATTGTCAAGTATACAAAGGAAGATAGTTTTCATGAGTATTGAAACATCCTGTTCCCTAAAATGAAAACGTAAGCTGGAAGAACGTTGCCTACGCAGAAATTGGACTGGTACAGACTTCCATGCGGAAAACTCTATTTATCATTATTTCCTGCTTAGGTAAGGACAAATGACCTCGAAGACTGGACAGTGATCGAACTTTTCAACAACGTTCATGATATTGGGTTTCTTGGCAGATGGAGGTGGTTAGACCAGAAACTTAATGACTATGATGTGAATCACGAGGAACTCTCGAAGCTCTCAGATCGAGTGATAGGTTATTGTTCCTTGCTATTACTAGCAATTAGTTGTTGTAAAGATTCGTTAGAGACGTTGCATATTTTCAAGTTGGTACAAACAAGTGAAAAGTATTTATTAGATTCATGACTTTACGAGTATCACAGAGTGAAAATCCTTATGAAATAAATCTCTCTGCTTATAATTGGGGGATGAATACTGAAAATATGTGGATGAACCTTAAAAAAGATATGTACTTTGTAAAAACAGAGCCAACCGAGACTGCTTCTCACGATGGAAACAACATTCGGATATCGTAATCGAGAGAAATAAAAAAAATCGCACCGGGATTGGAGGCGGAAGAGATGAATGGGTGTGCTCTAAAGCTTCCTCAACTATGAAAAGCAGTCACGTAACAGCGCTGCCCATTCACTGCACGAATGGAATGCGAATGTGAAGATAAGGTAAAAATCAGACTAAAATCGTACACCCACTATATTCAAAGTAACCATAATGATTGCGAACAGAGCCCAGAGAAATATGGCGTATGGCCAGTAGACGGATTGGAAAGGACTTCCATGCTTTTTGGGTACGGGAGAGTTGAGAACACTTCTTGCGTGATTCCGGGCATATATCACCAAGAAACATGGTATCATAAATTGCACTGCGACACCTAAAATTCTATATTTGAATTATTTGAATAGGAAAATATAATATTGCGTAACTCCGAATCGGAGTGAAACACGGTGCTTGAATTCTGAAAGTACCTAGCCTCTAACGCCAGTCTCTTTACTTTCTAGGAATCTCGTCCCCATTCATACTATTCTCTGTTCATGAACGTTTTTGACAGTTAGATCATATGAAAAAGTATGACCTTGCGACCGAAACAAATCAAACTTTGCTTACCTGGATAAGAGCCCGTTACTGTTGCCAGTAGTAGCACGTTCTCTGTTAACAGACTTGCCACTGTTGGAATGCCAATCACCAGTATCGGGATTACTATATCGTAGCGCTGAATGCAGGGAAAGTGTGAAACGCTTCAAAAGTTTTGCTGGGTAAATGAAAATGCTTTAACGAAAGCTTTTGTCGCCAGTGAAACTAAATGGCACGACTAAAAATTTTTTAGTCGAAACGCTTCAAAAACACATGATGGATAGCCATCCATAAACAGTCAGCGTATGCGTCGTGACACCCCATTCATACGGTGGTCCTGATAGGCCATCTCGGGTTAAATTTGTCAAGCTTGCACCCGCATAGGTGTCATCGAAACTTGAAAAACTTACCAACAAGACGACTTACAAAAACCTCCGCATCATGGAACGTACGCTATTGGTCTAAGGATGGTCGTCCAATGTCGGATGAAGAACCACGTAGTCCTAGAACCTACTTGATCAGCACGGGTACTCCTCCTCAGCCTAGAATCACGCTCATCATCATTACCTTCTAACAATGATTCCTCTTCTGACGATACTCTAAACACATTAATTTGTGAAAATCTTCATTTCTTAATGGAAGTTGACATATTGGATAACAATGGAGGGCGATTAAAAGTATAATTGACGTACCGTGAACCGGGTGGGAACACCGCATCCCGCAGGACTCGTATATTATTTATAAGAGTAGTTCCCACTATTGGATAATTAGTCGTAAGGGTAAACACGGGAAACAAAGCCAAGAAATAATCGACAATGAAGTAAAACACCGAGGTCATCTCGTCGTGAAGGAAATTCAATGTGTACACATCCTGTATGACTTTTTTGATCTATTAGTTTCACAATTTACTAAAACGAACGCGGAAGAAATGAAAAGATGATGAATTAAGAGCCTACAATCCAGACAGATAAACATGGTAAATTTCAAAAGAGCTGTAACGTTACAAGTTACCGTGAAGTCCAAGTATTAGGTTGTCAACTAACTAACTGTATATTTTAGGGAAATATAGTTACCCTATCTTAAAAAAAGAAGTAATATTTAGTTATATATTGACCATAAGATTTACAGATATCTGGTCCGAAATATAAATCATTTTGAAAAACAAGTGGCTACCCTCTTTTAAATGTTTGAAGTACTTAAAAAATATGCAGTTATTTGTAACTTGATAGTACTCAAGTTTTTTATCTTACGCGAGCAGTTACTTTTTGGAAGATGTATATTAGCAACGTTATTGGCAACCTAATTAATGGTACGGACTTTACAAGAACAAGGAAGTGCTTGATAACTCAAGTTATTCCAAGTAAACTCAAGGGGTTTCTGCTCAGTCGTCTGGAACGCTCTCGGTTGATATGGATTATGCCATGCTCTCAGCAAGCCAGCTCATCAAAGCAGTTCTAGAGCGTAGTAACGATCCTCAAATCGAGAAGATGCACCTGATTTTGGTGGATAAGATTCCTAAGGAAATGTCAAGGGTGCGCTTCGCTGCGCGCGTCCATCCAAACTAGGTCGCGCCGCAGCCGTCGCATGCGGCAGGTCAGCCCGCGATACTTGACGGATGTCGCAGTTGTCAGTGGGGCATGCGCTTTGCGGACAAATGCAAATCATTCGCTCCACCGACACTTGGTGGTACTGTAATGTCACCTCGAGACCTCAGTGGGGTGCGCCGCGCGCGAGGTGGGCGGGGTGACCTACTTTCGACGGATGCGCGCAACGGACGCTCTCCCAATGTCAGAGCTCATGGAAGCGGATAAAGGCTCCAGAAGCATCACTTTAAGTGCTAGAAGAAGCATCTCCTCATTTACTGCCGTACTAGAAGCCTGAGGCGAAGGTTTTTGACATATGGATGTTTTGAATGTGGAATGTCATCCATGAGGCCTAGGATGAGAAAAAGGATCGTTTCAATCCCAGACTGCTAAAAGTCCTCTTACCTCCGCGTTTTCATTGGCACACTGCACTAGCTAATGCAAGGAAAATTTGAAACCAAATGGTTTGCGAATATTTTTGCCAGAAAGAAGTATAACTTCTGATTAAAAGAACTTAAATATAAACTTCGACAGCACGCTAGGGAGCGCAATAGGGGTAAGACAATTCGCGAATGAGTTGTGCACAAGAGAGAGAGCTCAGACGGGTTCCAGAATTGTCGCGGAGGTCCTTGGGAAAGCCTGAAGATGCATGGTTCGCTGCATAAAAGTCACCTGGAGTGATTCCTTCTCAATGCCCGTAGTATTGTAAGCAGAACTAATCACTTGCATATGTTCTTCAGTAGATTCAAACCCGATATTCTAAGAACAACTGAGACATGAGTTCTGAAACTCTCGATACTGAATTCAGTGGGGGATTGGATTCCAATGTTTACAAGCATGACCGTAGAGGTAGTAGAGGATGTGGGATCTGCTGTTTAGTTAATTCTTTCCTGATCTCCGAAGAAATTGATATTATTTCAGTACTTGGTGCGGATCTGGTTTGTATTGAACCTTTGAATGATACCTCCTCTGCGACTACTATCAGACTTGTCGCAATCTACCGCTCACCTAATACCTCTGTTGCCGTTGATGATGTTTATCGAACTTGTTTCGAATCTTTGTTCTGCGCGATGCCACGTACCAATTAAAGGCACGCTTCACGATAAATAAGGTTACTGAGTTCTTCCTTTAGGAATACTCAGCGCCCCCATGGATGGTAGAAGGAACGCTCTCGCTCTCACAATCTCGACGCTTAGGACATAGTGGAAGCCCTGTAGCTGCCGTAATTGGCTTTAACGCCCCTCGATCGATGTTACGTTAGACGAGTGTCGAGACAATACAGATTGCAACTATTTGCTCTAGGGCCCACACACAATCAGCCGATCGCCAAGTGATGAGGCGATGTCTTTCTCCCGTTATTTTTTCCTCTGTTATTTTTTTTTGCTGCCGCAATCCCTTATTTAATTTCCTACTCCCAGAGACTAAAAAAGGTGAGTTACTTTTGCTGTTATCAGGGTTTTTGTTTACTTATGCTTATAAATGAATGAATTTTTGCTTACCATTTTCTGTTCCTCGCACCAGGACCCACACGTACGCAATGACCCGCATTGTATAGCTCGTCCGGACGCCCCACTCTTCTTCATCTTTTTGGTCTCATTCTCGTCCAGCCCCCTGTTTTAAGGATTTTTCGAAGCCTTTTTCCACTTTGGAAACACCGATTCCCGCAGTTCCTTCGCCTTCATCGCACTATTTTCCATCTTATCTTCCACTTTTTCGTTATAATCTGGATTACCCAAAATTATCGTGAACTGTGCCTGAAAGTTTAACTATGTGACTTTGGAGAATTTAGAGGAACTTTGAGCGTGCGGTACAGAAGTGCTCCATGTTTATCCTTACTCACCCACGAAGTTGCGCCAAGCTTCGCAATGCCTTCGTCTTTTTGACACATTCGGTCTCGCACAGTGCGTTACAAAGGCGATCTACAGTGACAAAATAATAGACGTGGTCTCATCCTCTCGGATTGTAAGCTTGTTTGCACTCTGCCAGCATTCTCCAGTTCTGACCATAAATCGTGGCCTTAAAGTTGGATCAAAAATGTCTCTACCTCATGCAATGCCCACACCTGTTTTTGCCAATCTTGATTAGCGATCCTTAGATTTCGCTTTTTTGGCTGTTGACTGTTTGTACACTATCATATCTCCATTGATAGTGTTTATCAGATTTTGCAAAGGAAATTAACTCCATTCTCGCTTCCTTTGTTTCTTTTAGGCTTGCATATAATGAAAGAGCAAGTTATCCTGCTAATAACGTAAATTTGTTGGCTTAAAAGATACGGTTTTTCCGAATGCTTCCAAATTCTGAACAAATACATGATACAGAAAAGCTTGCTCTAACCTCGACAAGCATGTCAAAACAATCGCTGAGAATTGTGACAGGCGACTGTCGGCCAAGGCTGGTTCTATGCATCTTCTTCGCCTAATTAAAAAAGAGCTAAAACATCTCCAAGGCTATCCGCGCTTTCGAATTGCTTCGGGCCTCTCTTTTTTCCAATGAGGAGGAAGCTGAAGCTTCAGGTGGCTAGTAATTGTTTGCTTTGCTAGTGTTTTTTTTTCACGGATAACTCTGAGGATGTGTTTTGGACTAGCAATCAGTTCGGGATCAAACACAGCCTGGCTCGGAATACCTTTCATCCGCTACGTTCCCAGAATACTCAAAGATCAAGCCGTACGTGGCTGCTGTATGATGGCATCCCCCAGATACTTTTCTGTAGGTTTGCTCGCTCATTAAGCAAACCATTAGCAAACATTAACATTTCTTTGCTTTTCGGAAAAGTACCTGTTATCTGGGAAGAGTTTGAAGAGAATTTTAGCGATTCCCAAGACTTGGCAGCCGGCTGTTATCTGATTTCTGGCTTGTTATCGATTTATCACCTGTTGCCAACGCCATGGAGACCTTTATTAGGGATGAGATTTCGGCTTGGCTTAATAGATTCAATGTACTTCGGAAGAGCAGCATGGGTTCTTAAGTGGTGCTTCGACATGATCTTATTGACACCTTCGGTTGGACTATTGGCTCAAGTAATAGGAAAGCAGTGGATATTGTATTCACGGATCTTTCTGAAGCCTTAACAAGGTCAGACATTCTAGGCTCCTTTCAAAACTTCATACATGATCTTGTCACCAGTGGGCAGCTGCTAAGGGGGTTCAGGTCTTACTTCAGCGATAGATATATGCCAGTAAAAATTGATCAGAGTTTATCACAACGTTATAGTTGTTACAGCGGGTTTTCAAGGTGGTGTGTTGTCACCTCTTTTGTCTCGCATACACTGTTGACCTTCCAGCTTACATAAAAACTTCGAGTCGAAACGCAAATTTATGCTGATGAAATTAAGATCTATGTCGCGCATGGTAAGGAAATGAAGGAAACAAGCTCAATTCGCTTTTCAACGCTCTATTGAAAAGCTATTGAAAAGATGGCTGAGTGGGCCACATTGTGGCGACTCCCTAATAACCTCAGGGAGTGTTCGATATGCACATCGGGGTAGGTTATCCTTTGGATTATGAAATTGGAGGTCACAAGCTGGTACGGTGTTTGTCGGCCAAAGATGTGAACTTACTCATCTGATCTAAGTTCTCTTCTCGCATAGACAGCGTGGTGAACAAAGCTTATTTTTCTTGTAACTTTTTTTCTCATCCTGCGCAATGTGCTGACTAACGACCATAGAATATTGATTCGCTCGAACAAGGCACATGCCTTCCCTCATCTTGGATACTGCTTCCAGGTATGGAAACCGGTGCATAAGAAGGATATTGCTAAGCTGAAAAGTCCAGAATACTTATACAAGGAAATGTTCTCCGGTATGTTCCCTGGCACGGATAACAGACTAATCTGTAGTTATGGAGATCGTTCAAAGTGTTTCGTTTTATGAGTTTAAAGAATAGATGTATATGTGAACTTCCTGCTTCCGTATTATTCGAAATCAAGCTTAAAGCCAGTAAATTCTGGGCCTCCAGGCCTAGTAGTACTAGTTCTGATGACTTTTCCTTGGAAAGCAGAAGAATAAAGAGGTTCAATCGAGCCTTGACATTCAATTCGTTCTTCTTCCGGACGGACAGAAAGATAAAAAAGTCTCCGCGAAAAGTTCTTCAAATCCAATCTAGGGATGAATGTATTACAGCTTAGTTAATCGATTAATAAGCTTGCCATCATAATAATGATATAGCTGCTACCGATCGGGCTGCCCTTCGGTACCGATCGGTAGCAGCTATATCTGTTGCGATATGAGGGCAAGCATGTCTTGGGAAGCGCTTTTTTCCAATGTTCCCTTTGTCTTGAATACTGTTCATTCACGGGTATATCGGATGTACTTTTCTCCTTTTTTCCTACGTCATGTAACCGTTCTGAAGTCTCTCAATTGGTCATCTGTGTCGTCGTACTCTTAGAAATCCGTTTTGTATAAGCCTAACTTCTTTTTTGTGTATGTCCATGGGTTGCTTTTTCTTTTTGCATTTGCCCAGTTGGATTTGTATTTTTTTTTGTTATTTCTTTAACTTCTTTCATAGTGACCTTGAACATACAGTCCGTCGCCACCGCTACTATTGTACAGGCAAGGCTGTCTGCTTGTCTCGATGCTTCTAATTTAGCGAAATGTTTCCCTCAACCGCGCACTTCCTGCAACTCAACCAGTAGCTTGCAAGTCGGTTCCACGAGGAAAGATGGCATACCAGTGCGCCGAGAAAACTCTATCACTGCAAATTGGTATACACAAGTGATTTTGCCCTCTCTCCCTTTACAATCGCACTTTGTACAGTGGGCGGTTTATTTAGTAGTTGTGGTGGACTCAGCGGAGTGTATAAATAAATAAATGAATAAGGTGAAATTGAAAAGCAATCTTATACACACGTCTTCCTGGCGCGGTTCAAGTGCCATATAATAATTTGAAACTTCGAGCATTAAGATCCTTAACATTTTCACCAAGCATCCTTCGCGTAAGCGAAAGGCGTAACAAATCGTAACCGTCACTCAGTTTCTCGGGGGTGGATGACGCAAGGATACCATAGCCTACCTAGGTGCCTGGGTAGGAAGGGTACCGTGGCAAAAGTTATCCAAATTTATATCCATTATCGACAGGTGCAGGTACCATCGCAGCACCGCTACATACTATTCCATTAGCTTCATGGACTGAACTAATGAGACCGATTAGGTTCTTAAGTTCTCAATTCCAGCTTGTACATACGAAAAGTAAGGATTAACATGGAGTACTTCTGTACCGCACGCTCAAAGTTCCTTCAAATTCTTCAAAGTCACCTAGTTACACCTTTCAAAGGCACAGTTCACGATAATTTTGGGTAATCCCGATTATAACGAAAAGTGGAAGATAAGATGGAAAATAGTGCGATGAAGGCGAAGGAACTGCGGGAATCGGTTTTCCAAAGTGAAAAAAGGCTTCGAAAAATCGTTAAAACAGGGGGCTGGACGAGAATGAGACCAGAAGAATGGAGAAGAGTGGGGCGTTTGGACAAGCTATACAATGCGGGTCATTGCGTACGTGTGGGTCTTGGTGCAAATAACTGACTATGGTGAGCAAAAATTCATTCACTTATAAGCATAAGTAAACAAGAAAGCCCTAGTAACAGCAAAAATAACTCACCTTTTTCAACCCCCTGGGGTAGGAAATTAAATGAGGGATCGCGGCAGCAGAAAGAATAACAGAGGAAAAAAGAATGGGAGGAAAACATCGCCCCATCACTCGGCCATCAGCTGACTGTGTGACTCGTCTGACGTAACTTCGATCGAGAGGTGGGAAGGCCGCGCGAGCCGGGAATGGGGCTTCCACTATGCCCTACCCGTCGGTTTTTGGGCAAGAGAGGGTCCTTTCTATTACCCTTGGGGGCCACTGAGTATTCCTAAGGGAAGAACTCAGTAAGCTTTTTTTATCGTGAACCGTGTCTTTTATGAATGTCTGGATTAATCGAAGTGAGTAGAAAAATAATAACGGTAAACTATTGATGTAATTAACCTGCACATGGGTGAACGCGAACGCACCAGTAATAGAAAGTGTGAAATAAAACGCCAAAACAAGTAAATAAATGCCAGAGAGCTTGAAAAATAATCCCGTTTTGGATCTGAAAAGTGTAGATGAAGAAGGAAACCAATAAATAGGCTTAACATTGCAGAATTATTCTCACCTCATTGGAGTAATCAAAGCCGGAATGCTATGGTGGCACATAAACGCGTACACCGCCGTACCAAACAATGATCCAAATCCATGAATATTAACAGGTGTAGGTGTCACAGCAGCACCGCTACTCACCATTTGTGCCGTAGCCAATGCAATCATCAGAATAAACGCTGGAAATGTTCTTTTGAACAAGTTGAACGATATGAACAATACCAAAAGCATGTAAAGAATTCGTTATGAAATGCTAGAAGGCAGTCGCGGCATAAAAAAATATGGACTTCGATTGCGAGAGCTACAGTGCGCTTCATAATTATGAGGTCACCCTCGATTTTTGGGATTCTGGAGAAAGCAGCCAGAATGGAATTTTCTCCGTATTTAAATTTTGGTTGCAACACCCTTCACCTCAACTCTTTTATGAATTTTTTAAAGATAGTGTCGGTCTTTACACTGTTTCATAATTATAAGGCCACCCTGAGAAAGTAAATGATTTATTAACGTTGATGGCATGTGCACAACAGTTAATAATCTATAGCTCCTCCTTGTTTAAAAGCAACATCAAAGAGCCTGCGTGGCATACCAGAAACTAGGTTTCGAAAATGTTTCTCATCGATTGCTCTCCATGCTCCGATAATCGCCCGCTTCAGCTCTTCTGTGCTCTGGAACTGAGGGTTATTCGCATAAACCTGTTTGACTATTATGTCCCAGATATGCTCCATCGGATTGAGATCGGGACTGCAGGCTGGCCATGGCAGGACGCTTATGTTTTGGCATTGCAGCTCATTCGTTGCACGGCTCACGTGAATGGAGGCGTTGTCTTGTTGAAAGACATAGTTGAGGTGACGGCGACGGCTTAGAAAGGGTACTAGATGATGCTCCAAGACATTCTGGTGATCCTTTAGATCCATTCTGCAGCTCATGGAGGCTAGAACAAACCCGACACCGTTGCAGAATGCACTCCAAACCCTAGGACTTCCTCCACCGAAATTGCAACGGCTGAAGTAGACCGGTTCCTTCCTCACGACGGTCCTGACCAGTCGCGCCAGTAGTACTTGTTTCCGTCAGGACCGTCCAGGTTGAATTTCTTTTCATCCGAAAAGACGACCTGAATGGAAATTACTCAGCTGTATGGTGAGATTTTGATGCAGACCTACCTTTCCCCAATCTCTCCCTACGTTCATCTTTGCAATTCGAGTCGAGCCTCTCTGTGGCGATCCTCCGTGGCGCCTTCTTCACTGCTTGCCTCGTGCTGTTATCGCATCCTCTTACTGCTCTCCAGACTGTAGTTGTCGACAAAGAGAGATCCGATCAGATCTGGTTCAAGGAGGACGTACTGTTCGAAACAGCCCTCAGAATCTTCCGCTCGTCATGGGCAGTAACCTTGCGTTGGCTGATGTTACATCTAGGGACATCAGGGCTCTCCAGAAATCTTTTGATGGAGCAGAGGGATCTCCCTTTTTGCCTGAAGATAGCTCGCTTACTGAGCCCAGCTTCATGAAGAGCCCGAATTTGAACCTTTTCCTCCGAGGAAAGCAGACGACTTTGAGCCATGTTGACAGTCAGGTTTAGAGATGCATTTGCTACATATGCTTACCTTTATAAGTGTGTTGAAAGACGAAAATTCTTCTTCTCCATGAATAATTGTTTACTTTCTCAGGGTGACCTCATAATTATGAAACGGTGCAAAAACCGATAAACTGTTCTGAATAAGTTCAGAAAAATGCAGTTGCTGCTAAAAAACGAATACCTGGTTATTCGTACTGGGGGTCCGTTCATGATGATAGAACAAAACCTAAATGATTGCTTTTCCTGAAAGCGCAAAATGTGTGACCTTAATTATGAAATGCACTGTATTATCGCACTAGGCGAATCAGTTTTGAGTGCTTCACTATCAGAGAGAAGCGTCATGAGCTGACCCTTCATCATACTGCTTCAACTAGAACAGTGTTCATTTAAGTAACTCTAGGATGGTAGAAGACAATGAAGCCATTCCTTTGAACCAGCTTTGCAGCGATACTCACGATCAATTCCAAGCACTGCATCTGCCAAATTAATTCTGTAAAATTGACACCAATAGCCAACAATTTCAGCTGTTTTTGAACAACCATTACAAAACTCACTCATGAATATATGACCACTCCTTTTCCCGCTTTTGAGTACTATAGATAGAGAGCTCTCACTCAGGAGAAAAAATGATGTTATCATGGTCAGTAAAATCTTAAATAACCAAGTAGAGGTTCAGTGCTCTGATTTCTTCCGACTGTTGCCATCGGTGATCAGAAGAGGTCGTAGCAACTGCACTTCAATGCAGCCCGTTCTAGTCTGAGGCACATCTTTTTTTTATCAATCGCATTGTCAGTATACAAACAGATCATTGGAAAAGCTGCTTCTATCCATATACATTCTCAAATCTTATCTCAACCGCACACTTTGACGATGAACTAGCTCTTTCCCGTTCCCTTGCTTAATTCATGGTCTCTTATAATATCCCGTTGTATCTGACACCAGTTATGTTTTATGTATGCCTGTCGTATCCTTTTCCGATTGTGTTTTATCCTTTTACCTAATGTGGCCTGCTGTCGTTATACACCCTTGACATGTAGTGAATAACAACGATATGGGGTACATTAAAACACTAAAACAGATTACTTGTACCACCTGTTGTCTGTCGTTGTTTGTCCGCTGATCTTTTTTGGCTAGAGTGGGCTCCAGTACCGTCCTTATTCGTCCCTATCGCGAGTCAATTCAATTCATTGCATTAGATCGTGCTCACTTGCGAAACACTAGGCACACCATTCTTTTTGTAAATGACTTTCGCAAAGAACTTTCATTATTGGTACAGCGGCCATCCGTTTTGACTGACCTCTCGAGGATCCAGTTAGTAACCGCTCTAGTCCAGCGGTCATCACACAGTGTCCGTCCAAATGTACTCGACTCCTTAGCGTAGGCAACGGCATCCCTGATGTTCGTTTTTTGAACGAAACTAGGAACTCCGAACTTACTCTGCAGAAGCTTTCGTCGCATTTTCAACTGTTTCAAGGCACTTCGGTCAAAGAATGAAGTTATCTTGCTGCATACTAACTCTGAACTATGCACTTAGAAATGGATCAACGGTGTCTAATCCATACAAGTCAAAGGACATCAGAGCGCTAGAAAGTGTCCAAAATAGCTTCGCTCGAAAATCAATGCTCAGATGCTCTGGTCTCACGTACGTAGACATCCCTAGTGATGTGTCCGATTTCTTCAAACATGAGGGGAGCTATCGCCAAACTATCTACTTCAACTGTCAAGACCCAATGCAGGTCGAAGTTTTTCATTCAGAAAGTTCGTACATGTTTTAATTCTATTCCGCGTTGAATCTGTATCCGTTGAAGTATGTTACTTTCGAAAAACTTGTCAATGATTTTATCTCTTTTATGAAAGTTGCAGATCTTTCAACAGCTTCCCTTTCGGGTTTTGTTAATTTTTTACATGTTGTGACTTCAACATGTCCAAATAAATAAATAGAATTGCGAATATCGAAAAATTATTCGACTGCTTGCCACATCGCGTTGGATGACGCTGACTGCATGTTGCTTGCATGACGTAGAGCCCAAGTCTGTGAGAAAAATGTCTAGAAAGGAGGATTACCCGAAAGACGGGCACAGAGCCGATTTCTTCGTCTTTCCAAGAACTCCCTCGACATTCCTAAATGCTCCCCACGCCGCGCGCTTCCTTCTGCCCTGCTACGGCGCTAGGTCGTTCATTATTTCGATTCAATCTAGATACACGTAACTAGAGCATTTAGAAATTTTCCTTCCTTGAGCGCATCAGGTACAAATCCGCTTCTTGTGAACATGGTCTTCCCAATGATCTTTCCACAAGCGCATCGGATTCGGCCAGCATTCGTCCCGTCTGCTCCATGTTCGGTGTTTTATGCACTATATCGCCTACAAAACGAAGGTGATGTAAGTAGCAGCCGTCGACCTCGAAAACCGTGGTCATGGAACCGCCGTAGCGTCAAGAAGTACCTATACACAATAAGCAGGAACACCCTGGTCGCCCAATGCTTCAATTCCCGCTTCTGCGTCGTAGCAGAGGCCGTCTTCAGATCAATGAAACGAAAAACATAATGGTATGCTGCATTCTTGCGATACTTTACTTGCTCGCTCGCAACGCTGTCCTGCATCTAACAATCTGCCATTCGTGTTACGGTGTGGGTGAAAAGACTGTGAATTACAGACAGCAGGCGATATAACCAGTATCGTCAGATCTCTTTTAAATATTATACAGCAATACAATCTTGCTAGTTTTCTACGACGAGGGCACTGACGGAGCCGAAGGGGCAAATATTCGTCTTGCCTAAGATGGTAGGTAGGCAGGTAGACGTGGCTGTAGAGGAAATCATAGTAGAAGTACAGATGACGGCTCCGGTAGGCTTTGCGAATGCTCTTTCCGGCATGGGCGACTTCTTCCACGACTGCTGGCCTTTTCTCTTTCAGATCTCCTTCATCTTCGTTGATGATTGCCTGTAGCGCGCGTGATTCTACGCTACATATCAGCTCAAGAGTATTCAACGGAAACATCTCTTAGCTTCTTGTAGACTCCTCTTTCCTAGCAATATCGTGAAGATGTTCGACGACGGCCTGGCAGCTCTCTTTTTTCACGCGCTGGAGAATGAACCTAGCGCGGAAGAGTCAATTGACCGATTTCGTTTATAATGTCGAAAAAAACGAGTCAACTGTATTTTTGGTCGATGTTACGATGTCTCAGGCAGAACTTTCGATTGAAAATGGTTTAATTTATTTCTTTAGACACTGTCCACCAGGTGATTCCCATGTCTACCGCGAGGTCTGGAACTGCGAATCACCATCCAGTCCTTCTCCTTCTGGGTAGCCTGTTTTGGTCCTGCGATTTCGACCCACCCAACGCTGCCATATTGAGAGCTCCCTCAGGTGCAGGGAAATGAGGCCCATCTGTGTTACTGTTTTTGGCATATGCGTACCCATATAGATATGGGTTTTGGCATATAGATAGCTGGTAAAGCTTTGACGTGGGGACTGGGTAGACTCCAAGAATGTAGCCGGGCTATCCCAGAGTACATGAGGGCTTTGGTTTCGGATGCGGCCCGGAGTCGCCTCCCAGATACTTTCCAGTCACTCGTATGCAAGCTTTTGGCTGAGCAGATGTGCAAGATACCAACCGCACCCGCAGATTCTCCACACACGTACTGATGTAAAATCTGCGTGATACAGAGGATACATCGACCCAGCACCGCAGAAACGAAGAGTTCAACCCATGAACCCCCCTGCACATCTGGGAGGTACCGGCGATTTTTGGTCCGCAATTCACTCCTATTTACGTCCCCTAGATTCGTCCTACGTGCCTTGTCACTAATCGGCTAGAGATCCAGTGAAGGAGACCCGCAGAAACAGCATATATGTATAAATATATAAATTCAAGCAGGGTATAGCACAATCATTGGAACCTCCCGCCTAACGCCAAGCTCTTCTTTTTTTTTTGAAGTTCGCCTACCTTTTCGGAGTCAAATTCAAATCTTTTGTGTTCGAAAAAAATGGCACATCCCATACTTCCTTTCTACTCCAACTTGGCAGCGTATTTTACTCGGGTCAAAATTTTTGTCAGCCTCTTTGCTCCGATACATCCTATTCCTCCCCCTTCCCTCCTAGCGTAGCCGGCGTCAATCACTTCCTACCAACACTTGGCATCAAGGTTCCCTTCCTGCCATCTGTACTTGTACCCAATTTTTAGGCTTCAGGTAAAAGGGAAGAGGACTCATGAATTTCCGATCTCACAAAGGCTCAGAGACACATACAAGTATTCTCCACTGTGATATTCTCGCTCTTGCCTAACGTGTTTGGTGTGTGGTGTGTAACGTGTGGTTGGTGGGGGACGTGCGATTCGTGNCTACTTCAAGTTTGTGCCCCAGTGATAGGCGCCAGACTTGTTTGAATCATCGCGAATTTCACCGCGCAATTTGCCGCGCTCGCCCAGAATCGCACGAATCGCAACACACCCGTGGTTGGTGTGTGTGAATTGCCGCTGTGGGGGTGTTGGTTGATACACCGACTTATAGAAACTCTTGTGTACTTGCCTAGTTATCTAGTTTTTTTCGTTTCCTTTAGACATATGGTAGCATACCAATTTGCGAAGAAATTGAATAGATGAGGCGGGAATATCGCGTAAATGAAGCAATCGATAATAGTCAATTGCTTTCATCAAACGCTGAAGTGTTCTACTCGATATTGGCCTTTCATTCAAAGCTGATGTGTTCTACTCGATATTGGCTACTAGACTAGTTTTTCAAAGCCAAAAAGGTATGTAGAAATGATAGTACTCAGTATGGCATTACAACTTCAACACAGAAAGGAGTAGAGGCGGTCCGAGTGGTAGCTGATGGAAACTACTCGATTCACTGCAGTCCCACTGCTGCGAGCGAAGAGATTCGTCAAGCAAGTACGGAAAAAACTACAGTACACATCAATCCGTAATGAAAGATTTATACATCCCAAAAAAAAAAAGATCGACAGTGACCATGTTTCCTTGTACTTTTGCTGACATTTATTCTATGATTTTGGACACTAACATAGCAGCAGCCTCTAAGAGAATAAAACTTACCGGACCATCTGGAAAAGGATGTCGCTAGCTGCAAATACTTCGTTTTCGCCACACCGATGATCACCATTGGTGTACAGATCGTTACGAAGAGAACAACGCAGAGTCGATATACTGTAAAAAGCCGATCAACTGTTGGGAACAGTTATGATTACACATTGCCTGAATACCTAGAAAAGAAAAGGTTCGAATCTATGTAACACGCACCAAAATCGTGTGCGCTACATAAATCACAGTCTCTGAACCTTCGCAAGACTAATGCTCGTAACGATAGAAACTCATTCTCAGATTCGACTTCAGTCTAGAGTTGACTTGATTACGTTGGCACTTTGTAAACAGAAATATACCTGTAAAGCGATGAAAAAACTCTGGCCAGCCTTCTCGACATGGGTCCGTCGGCATAACGCTGGATGTGTTTATGGGGGCACTGGAAAAACAAACATGGTAAGAAAATCAGCGTTAATACAGTGACTTATGATATTCCCACCATATGAGGTTCATAAGAGACTTCGGAACTGTCGTGGAGTATATGGCGAGATCTCCAAAGAGATAGATACTTAGGGCTAGATAGCTGAATATCACACCACTTCTACCAAGAAACATCGACGTCATATGACCCTAAAAGTGAACTAATTCTGCCTGTGAGAACTACGACTTATCCGTAATACTAAAGCAGTTGGACTTACTACTTCTACTTTTTGGACAATTTCAAATAACGACGGATCACTTTCCGAGACAACCACATCTGTAAAAAGTTTATTCGGACGATTCTTGTGTGTAGGCAAAGGGTTTTTTGGTAGGAGTCAGTGATATCAGATACCCTGGTCATTTCAGGGAAGACTGGGGAAGGAGGATTCTAGCTAGCGTTGATATGTAATTCACATAGAAACAGGAGCGCTTCTAGGTCTCATCACGGAGTAAGGAAAGGCTATATTCGTTAGGAAAATATTCGACCCGACAGCTTCCTTTATGCTACCCTTGGAGCCACAGACTAACCCTAGAGGGCAATCTTCGAAACCACTTGTACCGCGATCAGTGCTTTTAATCCGTCTGCTGGTCCTCCACAAGGTGCTATAATCGGTCTCGTCTCTTCCAATCAATGAAATCAAGACGAGACCGATTATCGCATCGTATTGTGGACCAGCAGACGGACTACGATGGCTATTAAATCTTTTGCTCTCTCCCCTTTTGCAATACATGGAAGCTCACATTACTAGTGTTGAAGAATTCATTCTATCGCTTCACCAATGTCCATGTCCCTTACCGACGGGAGCCTTCTACACGAATTTTGATGCTGTATCCTTATATACGAAAGTGAATAACGCGGGAGCAAGGCAAGCTGTGTTATCTATTATTGAAGATTAAGAAGATCATACGATGATGACGGGATAATCCGCCAAAGTTAAAGATCCCACCAAAGCAGCACTAGATTGCAACACTTCTTTTGCTTTGACAATAAATTGTATGAGCTAGAACAAGTCCTTGCCATGGGTAATCGCATAGCAGCTCTGTTAGGAGTCATCTTCCAGGAACACATAGAGAAGTCATTGGCTGGCGAAGTTCTGTTTTACGAATCTTACACTGATGGCGTATCCATTATTGAGACAACGGAAGAAGACCTAGTGGAAACATTGAAGAGACCCAACTCTAACAATGCTGACAAATCCTTCACCAGAGAAGTTCCATGGAATTATGGATTTCTACCATTCTACTATACGAAGATACGGATTAGTGAAGATAACAAGGAACACCCGTGGCATCGAAAAAGTGCTTCGTCGAATATCTTGTTGCACTCCAGAAGCCCACAGCCTCTCTTTATAAAGGCAAACGCCGTGCGGAATTTTCTGAAAACGAAGAAGCTTGGGACACGATGGTATTTAGCTGTTGATGGTAAAATTGAAAGCATTCTTGATTGTAACGGATACTCAGAAGGCAAAATGAGAGCCTGAGTCCCACTCAGAACGGCTGACGGAGTGGGCTTCATTGTGTCTTTTGTTAACGACAGAAGGGCACGTGAAGTGAACCGTGTCGTGGAGAACTCCCAGGTTCCCTTTCGACCAGCCTTCTGACCTCCCGATACACTGAAGAATTTCCTCATATCGTCTCGAACCTTTGAAAAACAGTGCCGTGAACAATCTTGTCGATGCTGTACATCTGAGAAGAGCTGCGAACTTCAAGGCACCGTCTACTTGATTTAATGCGGAGGATGTGGAGAGAAGTACGTTAGGGAGACCGCAAGACCTTTGGATATCCACATGGACGAGCACGCCGCAGTTTTTCCAGGCACCGAACCTTTAGGCATGAGAGAAAACGTTCCATCCTTCGATGTGAGGGTTTTGCATATACATTTGGTACGACCTCTTGAAAGGAAAATCATGGAAGTACTGGAAATGTAGCGCCGTATCAAGCCGGAAATCAGCGCAAAAGCGGAGACGTGTGACCATCTGAGACTGTTTGAATGGTGACATTCGTCGTCTCAGTGTAGAGCGGTGTGCATTTTCCTTTCAAGTCCCCTGCCAGCAGGTCCACTCCCCTATTTTCCCAATGGTTCAGGTACAGGTGATTGGTTGGCCTTCGGGATATAACGTCTTTTTCAGGTAGCTTCTTATGATTTGAAGTGCTTTATGTTGTAACTCATAAGTAACTATTGTACGTAATTATATAATGTAAACTTGAGGTCAGAAAAAGACGTTATATCCCGAAAGCTAACCAATCAAAGCGAAAAAACAGCAGCTTTGAAAAGTACATATCAAAGAGAATGAGACCGTAAGGTCGGCGAAGCAGAGATTTCAACGACCAATGTGAAATTTCTCGCGCCAAACAGCCGAGAAGTATGGATGCGCCATTTTTGTAATCAACTGGGCTTTACTGTCGGATTGTAGAAACAAGCGCAGAAGGAAGCTCCCGGCTAGAAAATATGCAGAGAAAGCCAGGACCTATAGTTGAAGAAGAAGCTAGCAAGCTTATCCGAGGCACGACTGGAAGACTTTGCAACAGTCTCAAAAGGAATGGTGTGCGCGAAGGTCTAGTGGGCTGGAACATCCGAACCGCTGATTCCAGGGTCAGGGATTGTTTCAAAAAATTCGATACAAGTTTTGTATAGCGCCACAGCGAATCCACGAGCAAAAGGCTCGACAAGATGAAATGGCGTGATGGAAAACAATCGAATAGACCATCGAATTATCCAGATCGTCAACTTTTGTATGTATTTGTATGTCATGTTTGTATTTTTTCTTGAAAAATAATTATGACTCTTCGAAAATAAAGCCCAAGTTTTTCAAACAGATTTTAGAGAGTTCAAGGCTAGAAAATGAGAATAACTGCAGAAATCACGAAATACATCACTCTTCTTAATTTAGTCCAATTCTCAAGTGTACGAGACTATAGATAACGGCACTGCTGTCTGGACGAGAACTTCGATGCAACACGCTCCACCCTCGACGCAGTCTTCAGAATGCAGTTTCGTGCACCCTTTACTGTAGCATCTGACTGCCGCAAGTGATTTGGGACGGTTTTTGGTTCCACATTCTGCCCTACCTGAGCCGTTTCTCTACGCGGCAACGCCACGAGTCGCGTGCTCATGATGCCAAAGATACAAAATCCAACTCCAATAGAAAAACATTAGAAGCAAACTCGTCGCAAACCGCATCCTCAAAACAGAACAGAGCCGAGAAGGATTAAAAGCTACCCTAAAATCCCATAGATAAGAGCGGGTGAACCTACCGGTAAAAAAATGAATTGGAAAAAATCGAAATTGAATGCAGTCACCCCTCTAACTTGATGGATGGGTAAATTAAACCTCGAGGAAGAAGTTAAGAAGAAGCTCCGCCCCTCAACTCTNAGAGTTGAGGGGCGGAGCTTCTTCTTAACTTCTTCCTCGAGGTTTAATTTACCCATCCATCAAGTTAGAGGGGTGACTGCATTCAATTTCAATTTTTTCTTATTCATTTTTCACCGGTAGGTTCACCCGCTCTTATCTATGGGATTTTAGGGTAATTGGAATTGCACCTTAGTTATCATGATGCAGCGATGAACCGGTACAGACCGTCAACATGAACAATTACTAGAGCATAGTGGATGTAGTTGTTCTCAAAGTACCAACAGGAAGCATTAATCGTCAATCCGCCTCCTGAACTTTCTTATCCCCCAAGTGGAAAAGTTACCCACTGCAAAGTTACTAGCGCGCTCGGTACCGACGTCGTAAAGATAAATTTCATTTGTAGAGCTGAATGAATGTTTTCTACCGACAACGAACCACTCTAGTGCGTGGCACCAATCAAATTCGTCCTACTGCATTAGTTTAGGTAGGCAGATCAAGCAATTTTATCAAGAATGTCAAAATTAAGCGTTGAGACAAAATAGCCGCCAAGGTACAAAAAAGTCCTGGAAGAATCATAAAAGGTAATTGTCGTTTAATTCGCTTTAGTTCGCAACCGCATCTTCTAAGGAAGAGAGTTCACATGCAATCGGCTAAAACCGCTAGGCTTTTTCGAGTCGGCCTCACAGGTGCCACTACAGGGATATGGTCGTTCGTCGAGTGCACTAATTCATTTTTTGTGCTCTCCACAAACAATAGAAGAAGATAGTGTAATAATGACATAATGACCCATTATGTGCGCTTATCTTTGCAATTTTTTATGTACTGCACACAATTACTTCAACTGAAAGTTTCTGCTCACCTTCGAAGGTGAAGTAATGTACCCAAAGCGTGCTCTAGTAAGGCATGAGAGGAGCTAAACTCAAGGATTCCAGCGACATTGCTGGACAGAGCTTTTCGCGACGTATTCTATGCAAGTGCCTTTCGAACCCACACTTTGGATAATGAGAGAGTGAAAACGAAAGTATTGTATATTGTTTAATTCTATATAAATATTCTTAGCAAACCAAGCCGTTCGGCGAATAATAAGAACGTATTCTTCTCTAGCGACATCCTTCAAAAAACTAAAGGTAGAAATGAAATCATGAGAGAGAAAAAACTGTAGGCATTGCTTACAAATATACTCAAACCTACGGCTAGACGGTTACCAAGCAACTGTACTGATCACTAAACTGCCTCGACGCGCGAAGAAATTACCCCTCGGTTGGTCGTTGCTATACAACACCCTTGCAAAGTAATACATGCATGACAAGATGGACTAACAGCGGAAGGAATGAACACTCCTACCAGCTTTGTAGTTCTGCAAGCATGCAAAATGTCTACACATTACGCTATGTCTGATACAGCGTACACAGCTCAGATTCCTTTGTGTTGTTAAGCCAATTAACAAGATTTCACTATGCTGCTAGCTTATTCTTCATTTTCTAAGCCAACCCCGGAGATGTTAATTTTAGCATTTCCATAGGAATATTCACCTTTCATTTCTACTCGCGAAACGAGATACTGTTTTGCACATATGGTTTCATTTTCAAACCCTATCCTCATTCACGTGGGATTAGTTTTCAGAAAAGCCGAAAGACTATCATGAATGTGTTGGAATGGAAAGTGGGAATTTCTCACCATCAAACTGTCTGGATTGCTGCTTCGCCTGTTGTTTACACTTCCGAGCATTAACAGCGTTTGCCACGGAAAGCGCTTCAATAACGAATGTTGCTGCTATGTAACTGAAACGGAATTTCAGGTTATGCTTAGTTGACAAGTATCGTGCAAAAATCTTACCTCACAAGACATGACACCAGAAGAACTATTATGCTAAGAACGTAGCCTGCAGTTTGGAACGCTTTCGGTAATGCCAAAGCTCCAGTTCCAACAATGAGGTTGAAGACGTAAAGAAAACCCATCTAAGTCAATCAACATAATGTCGATTCCTTCGAGTACACTAATTCGTTGATTCAATTTCTCACCGTTGTGCTATACTGCGTTGAGACACCAGCGGCGGGCATGATGAGGAACTTTGACAGTCACAAGCCGGGAGTAACCAAGAAGATAGGCGAGCGCGTGTGTCGCACTTATCGCATTGATAACAGGTTTATCTGAAATATGAACACCGTGTGATGATTAGCATTAAAAAGACAATAGAGTGAATACAATTCCCAGGAATATAGGCACATGGAGCCCCAAAGCCGCCAGAAGTAAGGTAGCACGCATGTGAGGCGTTACGACAGTCAATATTCAAAAGTGCGGAAGCTTCCTGTGCGCTATTACCTTAGAGGACGAAACTGTTTACTGATATTTATAGTTAAGATTTATATCACATCAAAACGCGTTCAGAGACCACATCACATCGGAACGTGGTAACGATCGTATTATTCAGGCAGGCGAACGGCTATTGCTAACCTTTTCAATGTCTCAATTTTATATGTCAGCGGCGGGTGAAAATAGGTGGAGGGGTGGGGGGAACGCCCTTTTGAATCATTGAAACACTAGAGGGCAGAGAAGGAGGGGTAGACAAATTACCTGTGCTTAGAGATGGTTTTCAGCCAGCATGTGTTCTTTTTATCTATTTTTTAGAAGGGGAGGAACTATGACTACCTCGAGCAAAAAGTTGAGATGCGGTAAGAATTGAACATCGAATTGGCTCACTCACCTTGGAGCTACTTCCCTTCTCAGAGTTAGGTAAAAAAAACATATTTACAACTTTAAAAATGTCATCACTGTCTTAGAGAACGGCAACCATCTACGCGCTCTAGCGCGGTCTCTATGAATTTTGCCGCCTGTAGTTAGGAACGCAGAGCACAGAATGGCGCTACCTACTGCCGGGGGACGGAACGTTCACCCAGTTCGTGATGGATGCGGCAGAAATTCGGGATGATTTCATCGACTCTGGTGTCTATCGTTAGGGCAAAAATTCGAAGTAGGGTAGATAAGTAGCGTCAGCTAGCCCTACTTATCCAATCTACTCAGAAGCTGTGACCCAATAGTAGGCGTCAGAGTCGTTTAAGTCACCACGAATTTCGCCGCGCAGTTTGCCGCGACCATCCACACTTGGGTGAATGTACCCAAGTGTTCTTTAATGCTTTTCATTTCCTCTCATGTTATAGTAGCAGTCTACTATTGTACAAATAGCAAATGCTGAAATCTCGTTCTAACTTGTATTCGATTTCGATGCGTCGTATCGTATTGTCGTATTCACTGGGACTATTCTCATGAGCATGAATTCATAATAACAGTTCCGATCCCCGAACACAATAATACAATGCAAACATGCAACTAAAGTAAGTGCTATGAAGGAGTGCAAGGCATCCCTTCTAGCCATCCTCTCGAATTAAGTAGTAAATAACATGCGTTGCAATTGCGATTGATTGCGAATAACATGCGAATATGAAGACATGGTCGGGATACTGATGAGTGCTTGGCAACAGAAAGTAAACCGTCATGGTTTTCATGGAAAAGATGATGGTGAAGATTCAAAAACGAGAAGCTTAGAATAAAGAATGATAGTGAATAATGAGATCTATGCCAAGAATGTCGTGTTCGAGATTCGAATCTGTCAATATGAAATCTCATGAGAATTACCTCGGTGAATAGACATACAGCAAACTGCATCCAATTCGATTTTCCCATACATTCAAGTTAGTTATTCAAACGATGCTCTTGGAGATGCTCCCGTTTATTATCCAATGTGTGGTAATGTCGAGGGTCACTTATCTAATCTACCGGGTCCATCTACCGACAGCTAAACAGCCACTTTTCTCGTCTATTTTGTCTTAAACTAAGTGCAATGAGATATTAAAAGTGACTGAACTGCTGTGAGATCACTGACCCTGGTGAAAATTTAAATGCAGGGGCCACCACTCTTGAACAACATTGAGCGTCAGAGCGCTAAAGAGGAAGTTAGCTAACTTCAATCATGCTCACAGGCGATTCTTAGCAAAAAAATTATAGTTTATGCTGAACCTTTGGGAAGGGAGGAGCACCGGGCCGTTGTGATGGTTACCTCATGCAGAAAGTAGCGATGAGGTAAGAATTGAACATTCAATTGACTCACCCACCCTGTTTCTCTTTCCCTACTTAGAATTGTTAAGAAGAACCACATTTTCTTGGCACCACTATGGGCTCGCGAAATCGACCATCCCTTCTCTAGCGCCCAATGTTGGATTATACTCCTTCTGTCCTCTGACTCAGTCTCGCTTGGAAACCGAAAAGTAAACGCAAGATTAGCTAGTTGGTATTTATACGCATTGGCAGATAAATACCGTGAGTGGAAATGAAAGTATCAAGAAAAGGTAGCATCAATGGCTGCTTTCATAGACCGCCGGCAGGTGGCCGGCGCTTTGCCCCTTGTTTAGAACTGAACCTTTACCGGTACCGCAGGCCGAGTAGTCCCCCAGCCAGCGCGCGCGCTCGCTCGCTGGCTGCTTTCATACTTCGACGTGCGTGCCGGCACGCAGGTGGAAACGCAGGTACAATTTTGCGTGCGGCGTGCGAGCGGCTATGCGACGGCGGTGCTATCCAAGTGTGTGACAGCAGTGGCACGTGATCCATCGGCGTCCAATGTTGTCAACACCTCTCTAGCGCCGCAGTCGCACAGCCGCTGGCATGGCGCACGCAAAATTGTACCTGCGTTTCCATCTGCGCGTCGAAGTATGAAAGCAGCCAGTCGAAGAGGTGAAAATGTAGTTGGAGGGTGCCAGCGCCCATTTGTACTCTACGTCTCTGACACTGGCGGCAGAGTGCATAGAGATCGCAGAGATGGATTCCTCCCCTTCTAAAAGTTAGAGGAGGAGCTCCGGGGTGGGAGAGATGAATATTTCGTGCAAAAAGCTGGGATGGGGTAAAAATTGAACATCCAATTGGTTCACCCACCCCGGAGCTCCTTCCCTAACTTTTGGAAGGGGAGGAGCTCCGGGGTGGGTGAGATGATTAGATGGGTAAGAAATGAAGAGACGCGGAACACAAAAGGGTGCTGGCACCCCCCAACTACATTTTCACCGTCGAAGAATAGCTGCTCTTGGTCCCGCGACGAATTACTTGGCTCAGAAGCTAAATAACTGCCGCAATAATTTAACAGATCCGCACAACTCGTCCGCCAATATCTGGCTGGTAGGTTTTGCTGCGAGTCTTCATTTTCATCTAACGGCGAATGTGGATGGTACGTCACACAAAGAAACGTAGTTCTAGTAAAACCTAATCGTAGAAAAAGAGGAATAAGTGAGACGGGATGTAGTGTAAAAATCCATAAGTCAATGCTCTTACCTCATCTGAGTACTCTTTGGATCGGATACTTACAATATTCATTGACCCACGAAAACGAAAATCCAGGACGAAACGTTAGACTTAAAGTGATCACGGCTGTGGGCCCTGGCTCGAGCGAGTGCGCGTGTTGCAAAGCCAACCGGCCTCACTAAAACCGGTCACCCAACAAGTCATCACTAGTGAGTCGTTTTATGCTCGAGTTTCCCGGTAAAAATTTGTAACACGATTGATTAAAACATCGTCGTTTGAAGAAACGAGCATTCATGGGAAGAAAACACAATGAACTAAAGGTTTTACCAATGTCAATAAGAAATTCCGCAATTTCTATGCTCAAGATTAGAAAAAAAATCCCACTTGTTTCCGGAGCCTAAAATGTGACAAATTTGGATTAACATTTAGTCACGGTGTTAGGAAGACTAGGACTGCGATAATGAACGAAACCAAGATGAGTATTAAATAAGAAACTAATCGTTTCAGGCTGCTTTCACATGCAAAGGGTGTTAACGTTCGCGATCCACTGGTTACACAGGTTCACCCGGGGCGCGTGTCAAGTCGTGCGTCCGAGGGTGCGCGCGGCAAATGGCGCGGCGAAATTCATACCTATTCTGACGACTCCGGCGCCTATCATTGGGGCCCAAATCTGAAGTAGGGCAAATTAGTAAGGTCAGCTGATCCTACTGTTCCACTCTACTTCAAAATTGGGCCCAAATAATAGGCGCTGAAGTCGTCAGAATAAGTATGAATTTCGCCGCGCCATTTGCCGCGCGCACCCTCGGACGCACGACTTGACCGTCCCCCGTTCACCCGTCCGCGAAACGAATGCGTAGGAAGAACACGGTCGTAGACACACAATGCGACTGTAAGAACTTTTGTGCGATGCAGAGTGATAATGCATCTCTGAGACTGTCATTAAACAAATTTTTCTGGAATTCCTTGCGACTCACTTTAAAGTACTTAGACCTTATTCCTACAAGTGCTAAGGTTATTAAGGCAATCCTTTACGAGATTAATAACCCATTATTAGTATTAGGACACCTGCTAATTCACTCACCTATTCATACCATAGACCACTTGGCTTCTAGGAACCGGCTAGCACTACAACTTCAACCTTTTCTACAAAACAAAATCAAATCCAATATTTGAACGGCTCAACATAATTATAAAGGATGCCGTTCAACACACTCGATCCTTGCCATTATTATAGCTGTACAACATGCTGGGCACTTGGATCAAAAAATAAAATCAAGCGGATACAGGAACTTGGCTCCACTGAACAACCTTATAAAATATACCCATGACCCGAGTCCCTGTCTACAACTACCCAATATACAAGAAAGTAAAATCCGTGAAGACAAAGAACAAAAAACGCCCGCAATTACTCGAATCATAGCTCATAAGACCCCTTTTCGAACAAATCACCCTCTTACCAGAGGCACAATTAGAACCTACTCTGATAAGAGCTTTACCATGTAAGCTTGACCATGACTAAAAGCCGTTTGGCTGACGAGGCCAGCAATCATAACGAGTGATTGTAGGATCTGCAGAGCTCCTTCACCTGTCTGAGACGTTTGCTGAGGTAACTTCTGTTCCGATACTTACGTTGCAGAGTGTTTCAATTCGTATTCGCCGTACCATTCTCATTGCCTGTACAACTTTGAATGTGAACTGAGTTCAGCTTTGAGTAGTAAAATACCAGGACAGATTGTGCCAGGGTTTCTAAATATCAGCCAATTTCTTTCAGAAACAACCTCATCAGTCTACAGACAAATTTGTCATTTCTCCAAAGCTGGACAGATCTTCCAGAGTTTAACGACACGAAATCAAGTTTGGGCTCGGTCCAAAATGTTTTGATGCCCTGTTGCTATAATATAAAGGCGAAGATAGGATTCGAGGCAGCAAGCACATTCACACATCAGAGAATCAAATTTGAGAGAACCACTTTTAGGTGCTTCTACTAGGTGCTATTTATAAACTGAGGGGCGGCTGCGAAATTCGCTGTGGGACCGCAGTACCGTAACCCGCGCCGCGCTCATGTGCTTAGTTGCAGCTGGCCTAAATTTAAAAGTGAAATGAAAGC